CCGCTTTTCCATTTCAACGGCATGTTGTTGTCACCAGAATGGTGCTACAGCAACACCAACAGCAAAGACCATTTCCATGAAAAGGTTTCCAATGCAGTCTTCCATCCCACTCTGCCCACACCATTTAAGGGGGAGGGAGAGCAGCAGTGGCAGCAGCGGCAGCAGCTACAGAAATACACTAGTACAGGCAGTGCAGGCTACAGTCAGGGTTGTGACTTTAGCGGCAGCACTGAGAAGCCAATAGATTGCATCCACCACAACTCCTTGCCCTGCTGCATTCGCGGTTGTCTCGTGGTAGGAGGGGGAAGAAGCCCTGCCTTCACATCACCCTTTCAGGGTTTGTGAATAGCCCAGTAGCTAAGCAACAGTGCCACCTTGTTAAAGGAGTTGCGATTACAGTTCGGGGCAGAATTGGAGGGGAGATGAAAGGAAAAATAGAAGAATAACCATTATGAAATTCATATTACTTGACTTTGAAACCAGCTATGCTATAGGGTTTAAAATGGGATTTTAGGGAAGTCCAAATTAAATTTCAGTCAGTGGTAATGATTAAATAAATTCAACAACTACAACTACCCAATGATGCCCAGTTATTATTTATGCTTTCAACTGTGGATTTTACGTTGATCAATTATGTTGCAGAAAACAAAGACACATTATTTTTCTAGTGGAAGTAGTAGTGAAATACTACGGATTAAATATTTTTTCATCTTTTCACCATATGTCTTGTCATCATGGTATTCCAGGTTTTAGGACTTGGGCAGCCACAAAAGCGAATTAACTGATAATTCTAAAAACATGCTCACAAATTCCTCTACTTCATATATACAGTAGGCTTTATCCACATATCATTTTTGGACATGGCTGTATTTTAGTTCTTTGGCTAAACAAAACAGGCAGTGGGACAAATTAGTATTATTCTGGGCATGTTTGGGTGTAGCCAGCCATAGCCTGCCCTCGTGCATTCAATGTGAAGCAATAAAAACGTGGACCTGCACTCCTTATTTGCCTAATGACTATTGCAAGCTGTTAGAAAGTGCCAATATCAATTTCAAGTACTCGAGTTTTAAGCTATGCAATACATTTTTATACAACGAAATTGACAGTTCTCAGTAATATGTGCCAAACGTTGGGTGAGCTTCCCTACTGAAGCCCAGTAATCATGTTAAATTATGTTTTAACCTATCATTAGGCCCTGCAGTGAGTGGGTATCAAGTCATAAATCTACTGGGCTCTCCAACAGGTGACACCACTCTCTAGCTCTGATCTGACTTTAAAAATTCTACTCTCACCAAGCAAGGAGCAGATACTCCACAGCTTGACCTACCCTTATATCTATGCATCTGCTTGGCCTAAACTACAGTGGCTGTTGCAGCTGCCTTGAATGGGGACTGTGTGTTAATCCCATGGTCCAACCAGCTGTCCAACCACCACCACTCAATTTGTGTGCGAGTACAGGCAAGTCTAAAGGGTCATTGCTTGGTCTCATAGGAAAACATAGGAAAGGTGTGAGGAAAGTTGCAAGGAAAGGTGTGAGGAAAGGTGTGAGGAAAGGAGGTTTCTGAAGCTATTTGATCCTCTGACAACTACTTCTAAAGCGGTCTACTGGTGCCTTATTAATCCCAATGGCCACCTGGATGCTCCATCCACTCTTGTGTAAAAAATATTTAGGGTTTTAGCAGATTAGTACAATAGTAGTATAATTAAGTGTAATTAGTTAGAGTATATTGAGAGTAGCCTTATTACACGTTCTGAGTTGAAAAAACACTTCCCTATTCTGTCCTTAATTGGTCTGCCTTGATTAGGCAAGCAGAGTAAATTGACTCTCAATTCATATCAGTAGATTTCTCATAAGATCCTTTAGTGTTAATAGTGCGAGCAGAGAAAAATAACTTCCACAACTCCAAATTGGTTTAACCCTGTATATGACAACGACAAAAGGTGAAAATACACACTGCTATGTTATTCTACTGGAACCATCAATTTAACATGGATGTTTGTCAAGTATAGAGAGTAGCTCTCCTGATGATGTTTAGGTAGCAATCACTCTCCTTAAACTATGTAAAAGCCCATAACAACTGGTGTGCAACATCCTTTCTGCCCCACCTGTCCACATGGTCGGGATAATAGCTGAAGCATGTGTAACAGAGTCTATATTAAAAGCAGAACATCCACACTCCACACAAGCTGCATGCAGGTGCTGTCCCACTGGATTCTGTCCTCTCCAGTATAAAAAGCTGCATACGTGTCCAGATATTCAGTTCTTGTGTCAGAATTTCTGCATATGACAGATGTCCTGCAAACCCAACCCATACCATGATGTTGTTCTCTCCGATGGCATTATAACAAACTCTTGAAAAAACCTGAACCAACTTATGCCTTTATTAGCCTAAATGACTACCTTATGCTGTTTGTAAAACTTTCAAACCTGCAGAGTTGGTTTACAAGGCCCCTGGGGAAGCCTCTTTACATCTTGGTCATGACCCTGTCTTGGTCATTCTTCAACCACCTGCAGCTCCATCCTCATGAGAACCTTGTCATCACACTTTCCGGCTTCGACTATTCCTCCTCCCAGCGTACGCTGTAAATGGCAGAATGACCTTGCTTCCACTGCAAGGGCAGCAGTCATGCCGTCTCTTCTGTCAAAGCCTAAGAGCTCAGCGCTACACCTGTTACCCTCAGTTCTACTATATTACTCTCCTCACACCCCCTGTAAAGACGCCCATTTCAAATAATGCCTGTACAAGCACGCCTTTCTAGTGTAAAGATCCTAATTTTAAAAGAATTTGGGGAACTCTCCCCCTGGGAATAGCAAAGGTTATATGTTGTATATGACTCAACAAATAAACTGAGGGACAACTGATGCCATAGTTAATTTATTTAAACTAGCCAACAGAATATCTGTCTAGTATCTAACAGCTTATGCTGTGGACAGACAGTCTGCACCGGTATTAATTACAGTACTTTACGTAGAAATTGTGTTCCATAACTGCCCATCCAGTTGGTGTAGTGTCTCATCCACCTCCACACAGTCACAATTCTGTTCACCAGTAAAGGAGACTCTTTTGCCAACAGACTGGATCACACAAACAGAAAATATCAAGCAAGCTCCTTTCTCTAGTCGTTCAACATGCAGGTCTAACTCCCAGATGAGTCTGTCGATGACAATTTGTCACTACCTGCAGTAAAGGTACATAAATAAAACATAGGATCAGTAAAACTCAGTAAATATGTCACCTGATCTTTTATCTAAACTCACGCTCGACACATCTGTACACTGCTGAATACAATGCATAATGGCAATCTCTTACACCACTTTGGTTGTTGTCTTTCATGTAGACCTGGTCCGTAACTGTACTGTAAAACTGTAACTGTAAGGTTAGCAATTTTCCGGTTCAACAAGACTGGTCACTGCATCGTGTCTACAATATAGATCCAACATGACTGCAGTGTAAGTAAAATGGTGCAAATCTTTGTGATTGGCTTCTCTACTATAAAGGTTTGTGGAACCTTATAGTCGGTTGTCAGCAGCATTTAAGGTGTCAGCGGTAACTGCAAAATATATTAGCAATGTTTGAGGATCCTACTATGAAAATATTTGACTTTCAGGTCCCATGTGATTTACAACATTGACATAATGTGACACAGATGCTTCCACTCTGTTCCTTGTCTTTGTCTTCTGTCATGGATCTCAAAACAAACAGAGCACTGTTCCAAAAATTACAACTGACTACTATTTTTATCTCATTGGGTAGTAATTACCACATAAACACACCAGTCACCGTTTACTGGAGAAAGTTAGGTCCCAGAAATAAGGAACCTTTGCCAAAAGCACAGAGAAGGTTTTTGAATTATGTCGTATAATAAGTGCAAAGTGTATTTCTTCCTGACATTCACGTGTTTGGGTGCGCCCAGTCATGGCCAACAGGGTGTAACAGGAGTTCCTGTTGAGGTCACACCAAAGATGTTCCTAATGCGAAATACATACCCCGGCTAATTACACAGGTTTCTGTACCTTCTACATTCGTCTTACTCTCGGCTTTTCTGCAGCTTCCTCAAACTAATATTAATCTGTAACCTAGTCAATAAAAACTTGTCAAATGTGTCATTTTCTCTCATACTAGAAGTCATAGACTGCTTATTAACTAAAGACAGCGAGCTATACAGCAACCAAAGGCTTAGAGTTTTTACATACAACATTTTATTCGGTGGCCATTGTGTGACGGCTTTTCTTATTTGCTGATATTCTGTTGAAAGTTAAAAACAAAGTACATGATCTACCAGACATTTTGTTACATGCTTGTTGCTATTCAACTCCTAGATAATTAGACTTAATGACAGGCACAGGGGGACAGCTCCTAAAAACATTTGCTTGTTATCCAGTGCCAACACTGTGCCCAGTTGAAAACCCCTGTTTCAGTATTTGTATACCAAAAATGCAAACTGTCTGAGTGACAGAATGACTCCTGGCAGGCAAATAGTGATAAATTAGCTAACATTATGCACAAACCATTCAGGCGTGGTAAGGTGCCACAGATGAATTAATGTAGCAGAAACACTGTAATGTCTTTAAGTGACACTCTGGTCAGGCTGTTGGCTGTGGTACTTAATCCTGGTCATTGAGCACCACAGCCCTAACGGGCTTCTTTCTAACAATCCAATCAGGGATTACCTGATTAACTCCTCCGATTACAGGTGGAAACTATTTCCTAGACACGACTCACACCAGGAACGATAACTGCTGAACTGTATACAACAACGGCCAACCATCAATCCAGGGTCAAGATTTCCTTTTATAAAAAAGTTATTTAGCTCGGTTGCAATTATTAATTAAGAGCAGTGAAAAGAAAACCTTGAATTTTGTCGAGATTGCTAAAAACAGCTTGTGAAGTTTTGGCACGGAGTGTGAGCATAAAGTGAAATCTCTTCAAACAAAGTGAATCAATACACATATTCACAGTGATCAAGGAAATAATGGAACAGGAGACATTGTGCATTACCTGTCATGCAGTACGATGGGCATTGTCTCCCCTCTGTGTACAGGGTGCTCCATACCCTCGCCAAGACCACACCTCAAAAACAGAAACACGGTACATTCAACACAAGTCTTTCTTTCAAAACAACAAACACTGAATATCAGCCAGGAAACACGACATGAAGCTGTGACATGTATGTTTTGATTCAGCACTTATTTATAATGTTTTACAGTCTGCAAACTATTCTTGATACAATATATCTCAGTGAACTGTACAATTAGTTGTGCATGTAAGTTTTCTGATTCTGGTAACAACAAAGTTATTATTGTACTATAGATCACAAGTAACACTGCCTTCCAGTTAGACACGGTTATATATACACATCTCAATGCTTTTTTTTCTTGCAACTGAGCTGGACAATGAAATAGAAACAAATAAGTTAAAAGTTTCTAAACTGTCTGAATAAGCTTAATAATAGTACCAGACTTCAGTAAATATCTAAACTTATCTTTCAAGTTTATCCTGAAACCAAACATGTGTGTGCTTGACATACTTTAACTCCAGTGTCTGACTGATTTACAGCCTGTGGTAAACACCAGTAAGGTGAGCATATTTGCATTCATGATTATTTTGGATGTAAAAAGCTCCTACAGACCTTGATGACAAGGTGTAAGCTCGTTTCTGGACCCCCCCCTGCTGAAATGTGACAGTTGCATCATATTTCTAACTTGTTGCTTTACACAGAACTGGGCTAATTAAAGCTAAAAATATCTGCCGCGTGTGTTACTTCACAGAACAATCTCCCTCGTCTTTTGAAATCCAGCTGACATTGCGTGCAAACTTTGAAAGAAACTGGCAACCGGTGCGCAAGGTTAAAAAAGTAGTTTCCTCAATAGTTACTGTTCCCGTTGACATAACACGTTAAAGTCACACAGAGCCGGTGGAGCTGACAGCCTCTTGCCTCTGCACAGCTGCTGTACGCCGAGCTCTCAGACAGACACCGAGTCGGAGAGGTTAGTCCTTTTAAAGTGGGACACATGTGGGGAGAAAGAAAGTCCACGCCGAGGTAGCTGCCTGCTAGCAAAAGCCTCCAAAGCTACCACCGCTTGAAATGTCAAGTGTTTATTATGCCTGACTAAAACACTGTCACAAAGAGGCTGTCAGACTGCAGCTTTGTTCATTTTTCTGGCCATGTTGCCTCAACAGTCTCAACCCCTCCTCCTCCTCCTCTTCTTCTCCTTCTCCCTCTTCTTCTCCTTGCATCTCCAGTGGGAGCAGGCTAAAGCTAACTAGCCCAGCTACCCATTTAACGTTCACATTTGCTAGCTTGTAATAACACCAGATGAAGACAGTCGAGTATGAGGCTGTCGAGTTGACAACTGTGAGCTAACTATCGTCCGCTAGCTGCGTTACCTGAACTCCCGACAGCGTAAAGAGCAGGGGCTCTTAACGTGAGTTAGTTGGGTTGGTAATTAGTTAACGTTAGTGTGGTTGGTTGGTAGGTTTGCCACCACCAACAAATGACTGTGACTGACTGTCAACCTGCTGTTTGCCGAGCTTAATACACTGTATATGATATTTCGATGATTGTACGTATCTTAAATACACTCTGTAAACTTTTAAAAAGCAGATTCCATACCTTCAAAAACGAGATAACGTTAACTAGCGTCCTTGTTTTCCTTCCAAGCCCTCAAATCCACTTATACCAACCGGAGCCTCCTTCCTTGTTTTATCCAATCCAGTCGTCGTTTACTAGGAGAGCAGGAGCATCCAAACTTTCCATTGGCGGAAGAGTATGGCAATCTTTTCTCATTGGCTCAAAACTTCCGTTACTAAATAAAGTGGTTCTGAAGAGGAGTCGTCTTTCTTTGAAGCGTTTGTAGTCTGACATAAATGTCTGCATCGCTTTGCTTTAAAGCGATTCGTTATTGTAGTTTTGAGTGTGTCCTCTAGGGAAGAAATAGGCTCCCTGTTGCAAGTATAAACTCACTTGTGTTTTCTATAGAAATGAGTTAAAAACAAGTACTCACGCAGTGTCGTTGATGCATGTGGTAATGTTCAGTAGAGCAGAAGTGTGAGTTGGTGTGTTTTAAAGTGATTGAAAGGGAGAGGAGGTAATGAGAGGCTGTCATTATCCTCTGTTTCTACAGTAACCACAGCACTGGATGTGGTTGCTGGCTATATTAGACTCAACCTACATTACTAATAATCTATTACAATAATTCAATTAATGTGGCGCTTACTTTATTGCATATTATAATAACATATAATATTATTATCTCCTGAGCCAACACTCTTTCTTTTTTATCAAAATTCATCTTAATATGACCATAATAAAGTTCAGTTTAGTTATAATATGGTTTTTTTCTCTCTTCTCTCTCTCTCTCGCTCTCTCTTCACATTCAGAAGCTCTCAACAAAGAAAAAACAAACTCATATCTAAAACTGACTGAACAGCTGTGATAAACCTCTGTTGGTTCCATCATTATAAATGACCCATTTCACATTGTCATTTGATTCATTGTTAATATGAAAATATTGGAGAATGCAGCTTTAATGTCACAGGTAAAAGGTGTGATCTCAAAATTAAATCAACTAAATACACAGATTTATTAGGCTTCACTAAACCAAACATGCAGAATCCTGAATGATTCATACCATGCTAGAATATATAGGCTATGCTACTAATTCAGGTTTATCGTTCAGGTTTTTAGACTGTTGGACACATTCACAACATTACTATTATTATATAACTGTTTTAGTGTACAGAAATAATATTTGTTAATGCCGGATGTTTCTCTTGTTCTCTTGCATGTTTTATACATCTCAGCATAGTGTTATTGTTATTACAGTAATTGATAAGTTTATTTTTTATCTACAAAAGATGAATAAAAGCTCAAAAGTCAACATTAGAAAACCTCTTATGAAGTCCATTATTAATTGTTTATTATAAGTCCCTCAAAAAGAAACCTTATGAAGCAAAACTGTGAGTTTGGGGTTTAGTTACCAACATATCAATATGTTTTAGGATAATTAAATAGATAGCTTGACAGTGGTTATTTTTGCAGTTAATATCTGACCCATGTTTGTCTACAATTACGACATGACCAAAACAAAATAATGTATGCATTCATTAAAATGCAGTGAGGCTCTCTCAGTAATCACCTCCACCTTTTTTTGTCCTCTCAAATCACGAGTTAAATTGCAAGCTCATTATTAATCAACTGATGCATTGATCTGGAACAAAGACTGCTTTGGAACAGATCAAATTCAATGGTAATTTTGCTGAACTGTTGGCTGGTTGTACAGTTATAAGTGCCTGCCTCCATCACGTGTGAATGAATGGGACCTGCAGCTGCTAATTTATGTGAATGTGTTACCAACCAATTCTCACCTCGTGAGTTGCACTGCCGGTTGAAGAAGCATCCAACTGATACACGGTAACATGTAATTACATTTCAGAATCAGTTATTTCTATCATTTTAACTTAAACTTTAATTTAAAGTTTAAATTTTAATTTTTTTCACCTTAAATTGGTTTTATTATCACAGTGCGTGGCCCTCGGGTTACAAGGAGCAGAAAGAAGCAAATAAGGTTAGGTAGTAGCCTTTTAAGTATGGAAGGGTTTTTTAGAGAGGATAGGCTAGACTCAGGATATAAGAAGCTTATATCAATAATTGGAGCTGGCAGGGAAGGAGGCGGTAATTCAACAGGACTCTAACGTCTTCCTACAGGTTATAGAGTCAGACCATTAAATTACAATGATTGAGTGGGCAGTTTTAGCACAATATACAGACATATCTGTGTAGGTTCATATGTCAGCTGGAAAGTAACAAGAAATTGCACTGCAGTAGAGTCAAGATATGTTTGAGGTGATGTAGAAACAGTGTTGGTATGACAGAGATTGTCCAACAGAAAGTTTATTTTTTTTAAAACTGTAAAATGTCCTTCTTGACCACATTTCTTTATTAACCAAAACATTATTATCAGAAATGTTGATTTACCTTATGTGTTAAACTTACGTCCGTAAGCTCAGTGTGGAGGGACTTTGCTGGAACCGGAGGGTCCGCCGTTCAAGTCCCACGACTACACAAATTGGAGTGTGGGACTGAAGCTGAGAGATGCCAGTTTACACTCCTGTGCACTGCCGATCGGTGCCCTTGAGCAAGGAAGCCTACCCAAGCTGCTCATGGGCGGTGTAACGAGCGCCCATCAACACTTTCAGTGCATGAAGTGTGTTATTCAGCTGTGTGATGTGTGTGGTTTGTGTAAAAAAGGAGATGAAACAACAATTTCCCTCGGGATTTAATAACAGTATATCTTCTTATTTCTTCTCTATCACTCATGCTATGTTATTAAATTCTCCTTTTATATCAGTCCATTAATAGCCTCAGTGAGGCGTCTCGACTCTACAATGATTATCTTCTCCTGCTCGGCTGATGTTTGCCAGCCTTTAAAAGATATACTGCTGGTGTTTTCTTCAAACGAAAATCTCCCTGTAATACCAAGTGTCACATGACAGCAGCCATCCCCTGTGTTTCCACCCCTCGCTTGCTGTTCTTCAATGAGTCCAGTAGGAGGCAAGCACGTGTCTCCGTCACCAGCTGTCACAATACGTGCAGTCAGGAAGAAGTAAGACGCCTGCGCCCGCCTTTGGCTAACCTTCCCAACATGTAGTTTTTGGTTGCTTGGTTTGTTTACGACGCGGCTGCAATGGCTCCGTTAGCCTCACAGTGGACGGAGTGTGTGCGTCGTAAGAAGGCGCGTCCGCGTCTGCTCTCGGGGGAGCACTGCGCTGTGAGCGACGTTAAAGGAGTATAAAAGCTAAGCGAGTTAGCATTAGGCGTTGTCAGTCGTACGACCAGAGTGCATTTGTTAGCTAGCATTTGGGCCAGCAGTCACTGTAACTATGACGTGACGGTGACAGGAAAGTTGGTTGTTTGACGACCCTTTGGGACAAATCATTTTTTTTTTTTTTTTTTACATTTCTAACGTGTATCTCCAGAAAGCGGAGCACGTAGAGACAGAGAGAGAGAGAGAGACGAGCGCATGTGTGTGTGGTTTCCTTCCGCAGGTTAGGCTTTCAGACAGACAGCTGCCTGGAGACTCACTGTGACGAGCTAACGAGCTACATTGATGTTAGCATGGCGTCAGACACAAGTGACACCGAGGAGTTCTATGATGCTCCCGAGGATGTGAACTTCACTCCGTCTCCTCAAGTGTAAGTTTGTTCATCCGCGGCGTTACGTAAGAGCCGCTGTTGCACACGCTGCTTGTGTTTGTCTCATGTGCCTTTAAGTTACAAGTCTCCAGCCAACTTAGCAATGGCAGCTGAAGTTAAATGAGCAAATGCAGCTCATCTTTTTAGAGAGCTGGTTCCTCGAGTCGGCTGCAGATTGACGTTGCTGTCTGATCAGTTTTTTTTATTTCAAGTGTTAAACTGGTGGTGGTTGTAGTGTTACACAGTAGTTCGCCAGCTGTTTGGTGTTTCAGCAGCTGTTTGATGCAGGCAGGGAGAGTCTACCTCAACAAGTCACATGATGTTATTCCTGAGACCAGGTCGACAGTTTATATATGAAAACCACTGTTTCCTGTAACACCAGACAGATGTTACCTGCTACCTGTCATTATGGGAGATGGGAGGTTTTTGGCTGGTGGACACAATGGCTGAAATCAAGAGTAAACAGGAAACATTGCTATCTATTCAAAGTGATGTTAGGAAATGCTACCACGTCATGATGGATTTAAGTAAATTATACCAAGACAACTGTTACTCTGCCTGTTGGACTTTGCTTTGTCCATTTCACGTTATGGCTCGGGACTGAATGAGAGTTTGTCACAATAAATATACAATGTGGATGCCACCTCGTTAGTCACTTCATTACACATGCATTGTTAGAAGTACTATAAATTGAAACCGAGCCTCTGGACATATCAGCTGGTTGCTATTCAATAAGCATCAGCACATCACTGAGTCAAAGACCATCCTTGTGTGTGTTTGCTTTTAGACTCAGGCCTTTGTTAGAAACTTTTATTTAATGATAGAGGAGGTATGAAAACCTGTATTTCCTTTTTGGTCATAAGAGAGTCATAATTCACACACATGAACTGAACTCCTGGAATAACAACACATTTGCTTTCAGGTTGTTGGATGTTTTTAGACATTCACTTTCATTGCAGTTTTTTAAAAGTACCCCTTTATGCTTTTTTTAGGTCACCTGCAAAGTTTGTCCTTCCTTCGCCTCAGGTATGTTTGTCTAATCCCAGCCACTGTTGAAACAAGCCAGTATTTGCTGAGTCGCTACTGGAATGATTATTCTTGCAAAGATTTAATGTTACG